GGCCCTTAACTTGACCTAGCGCGAGCAAACTTTGTATACTTACACATCTTGGGGCGAAGGTGTGTCGCGTACCAAAACCCCTAAGGCAACCAATTTTAACATACTTTCACATCAGGCAGATGAGTTGTGTAACAAACCTTTGGCTTTGTGACTTATTTAACTTTACCTACCTTCTACGTCCTTACAGAGATATTTCATTCATACTCCTTCAGGACATCCCTCAGACCCCCCTGGGGGGAGGGGGCACCCCTCCCGCACTCTCTCCACTTGGCGGCTATGCCGCCTCATACTTGTCCTTCGTTATCATTTCCTCTTTTTTCCTTCTTGCTGTTCTCATCCCTGTATAATATTTATAAATAGAGAGAGAGAGAGAGCATTGCCGCGGCGTTGAATTGACTGGTGTGCGGGACGCGAAATATTTTTTCCCAAACAGGTTTACCTATTACAGTAAAATCCTGCCTCCTGATTGGTTCAAAGGCAGGCGTGTACACATGTGTTTGCTTATTTAAAATATGTCATGTGCTATTTTACATAGACCTGTAGAGCCGAGCGTTTAGAGAAGCGCCTTTATGTCTGAAAGGGCGTTGGTTCGAATCCTGTTAGGTTTTCAATTATTTTCCTGTTTTCTGTATTTTTTATAACTTTATCCATTTAACTATTGTTTTCAAAATTAATTAATTATTGTTTTCAAAATTATTGTTTTCAAACGGAAATATTTGCATGATTTATTTACAACAATTTAATTACAAATTATTATTTTTTTATTTAATTAAATTTATTAGTGTTAATTTAATTTAATTAGGGTTAGGGATAATAGGTAATTTACTACTCATTTTACTGTATTAGGTAAACCTGTTTGGGAAAAAAAATTCCGCGTGCAGGACATACTGTACGAAAAGTACTTGTAGCGAAAATACGATCAAAAAGTACAAAGATTTGGCTTTTCGGCGCTAGATGGCAATGGGGTCGCATGGTTTACCATTTTTATATAAATTTTTAGTGACGATCAAACAGCGCATAGCCATGACATGAGAGTCCATAGTACATAGGGACATAGGACATGAGAGTCCGTAGTAGATACGAATGGAGAGAACACCTACCTACCTGGTAGTTTGTATGTTGATGTTACACTGACAGGCAGTAAAAATAACCAGTCACTACTCTGACCGTAGTTATGTTTTCACGTACCGGCGATGATGACGCTGAAGATTTTGGTGTCACTGCTGGAGGAGGAAGGTGATTTAGACGTTACTTAAGACTTAAGTTATAATATTATTATTACTAATAATATGATGATGGCATGCCCTGATTGTCAGATTTATAACGAAAGCTAGTAATAATACTACCCCGGAGGGTACTCGCCTCACATTATGATTATGGTAGGTATGTGCCACTGCGAAATCAACAAGTGCCGCGGAGCGACAGCGCTCATCTCACGTCTACTGTGGTGACTCTGTGGTGGAGTGGTGGGATTCTAGTAAACCCTGTTAGTCCCAAATGTGTTCACATACGCGCTGAAACAGTGGAAGGCACAGGGATGGTATCAGGAACCTTCTCAAAGGAATGTTCGTTGGGATCGTTATGAAAGTTACCACGAGATGGTGCGTACGTTTAAGTGTCTTAAGATTAAAGATGGAAGCTCCCATCGTACGTAGTAGCAACAACTATTTGCAAGACAGAATAGGTAAGCACTCATCCAGTTACTTACGCAAGCCTACAGGCTGAACTAATTAACGCAGGCAAAAACGACACAGTACTATCACCACCACATGCACTGGCAGCAGTTACTGGCAGTTGCATAAGTTACATGTAACATACTGACAGTACAGAATGTCATATAGCGCGTTCACACGTAGCAAAATCCACGGTTCGTACGTACTCGCGATAAATTTCCCTCGTCTGAACGACCACGTATAGCTATACTCAGTTCGAAACGCGTATCACTATCCTGACAAAATGAGTGCGTTTCCTACGTACTTCGTATAGCTATACGCGTATAGCGGACGTGTGAACGACCGGCTATAGATAATACGCGTATACGCATCACGCTTTGTGGGCGAGAGAGAGAGAGAGAGAGCTGGAGAGAGAGAGAGAGAGAACTGGAGAGAGAGAGAGAGAGAACTGGAGAGAGAGAGAGAGAGAGAGAGAGAGAGAGAGAGAGCAAGAGAGCCAGACGTACCTTGCCTAATTCCATTAACGAGTCTAGGGAGTTGCCTACGCTACTTCCCTAACCTTAACCCTAACCATATCAAATAGTTACCAGAGTACGTTCCGGTATACCGAACTGTACCCAGGGTACGTTCCGGCAGTAACCTGGGGGACGTAGACCCTATGAGCGTCAGAAACAAATTAGTTGTAACATTAGTGATGATTTATCATGTTTTTTCCAAAGGTTTTTGTATTTTTCTCGATGGTTCTGATACTTACACAATACACATACAGGTACTCCTTGTGTAAAATGAATTGTATATATAGTGAGGCTAATGTCAGCGCATCGATCTCCATTTCAAATTAGAACACAGCACAAACTCATAATAATCTTTATGCTGAAGTAATCAGTAATATGTACTCTGACAAGTGAGACTAAATTTGTCATTTATTTTTTTCTCTCAATTTATTTGTGAAATAACCAATTTAAAATTAACTTTCTCTCTTAGAGAAACATCCTAAAGCTATATACGACAAATGCCGCGGAACGACAGCGCTATCTAACGTCTACTGCGGTGCTCTTGTGGTGGAGTGTGATTCTAGTAAAACCTGCATTGTCTCCAAATGTGTTCACATACACGCCGAAACAGTGGAATGCACGAGGATGTGTATCAGAACCTTCTCAAAGGAATGTTTCGTTGGATCGATTATGAAAGTTGCCAACGAGATGCTGGCGTACGTTTAAGTGTCTTCAGATTAAAGATTGGAAGCTTCCATCGTACGTAGTAGCAACAAATATTTGCAATGACAGAATAGGTAAGCACTCATCCATTACCTACGCAAGCCTACAGGCTGCAATAGAGAGCTGCCACCTGTAACCAATTAACGCAGGCAAAAAACACACGTACCCACACCACATTGCACTGGCAGTGGCACTGCAGTGGCATACTGTTACCATGTAACATACTGAAGTACAGAATGCCATAGAAATTATACGATTTAAGGAGGCATAAACTTCTTCAACAAATCCTCGTGAGCTTGTTGCAAATATTCGAATGATGTATGGCTTACGCATTCGCTAATAACTATTGGGAAAGGAGTTCTTGATTTACGGTCCAGGCATGGCATATCATTTTCAGTGGCACTATTATGTGACTGCAATGGGTCCTTGCCTGTTCGGTACACCTCAGGCATGTTAGGATCT